TTTTATTGCTATTTTAGTCTCTTTATAGCTTTTTTTTCTATATTATATTTAAAAAAAAATGTTACCTAGCTTTAATTAGTTAAAAAGTTGTTTTTTTTAACAATTTAAAAATGTCAAAAATATACATATAGATATAATTTTTWAAATTCAATTTTTTTAAGTAAACGATTTATTAAATTATCAATTGCTAAAGCTTGGAAATTCAGCATAMGATTTTTCGTATGTAAATAGAAATTAAAAAAATACAAATCCGAATTTTTTAGTATAAAAATTTCATCTTTGAYAACATTGTATATACTTATACCACGAACTTAATCTCACCGATTTAGCATTTAYGGTAGGTTTTAAAAATAGTATAGTATAATATTATATCATGCTATTTTACTATTCTTCCTATATTAGCTACCGTATTACTAATACTTATTAGTTTGTTACCAATATAAATGTATTTTAAAATATTCTTAAAAATATAGGCTACTATATTCATTTCACTTCAGAATTTTTTTTTATGCCATAAAATAATTTATTGTTGAATTCAAATATCTTTAACATATTCACTTCCTCAGAGTGATGGCTTTCTCGTTTTTTTTTTTAAAATTATAAACCAATTAAAATGTTTATATATTTCTTTCACCTATTGATATTCCCGTTTGTTCAAAGTATGGGGCGATGAAATCTATAACTTCTTCCCGTTCCGATGTCATGGTGAGTGCAGCTATAACAATATCTAATTCCTGTAACCACACAGTAATATAAAAGCTTGAAAATTAATAATTACGTACCTATACGTAAATCCTACTCAACATTCACTCACTCCTTCCACAAGTCCACCGATGAGCCCGTTCCACTGGTTTGTTACTGGGTCGAGTGAACCAAATTTGTCTTTAACGACTAATTCGTATTTGAAATTCATTTCATTGGACAGTTTTTCGATTAGATCAATACAATAACCTTTCCACTCACCGTCCATGAACGTCCAAGGAATAGACTTAGGGTATAAAAATAGAGCTCATAAGATTTTCAATTACAACATTAWTAATATGATGGTATCAAATCTTTAATAAAATTTAAACTAACCATTGCGGTTCCAATTCTAAAGAATCGGCGGCCGCTGATTAGAGTTGAAGCGTTGGATTTCATTTCTAAACCTTCATTTACGGTCCACGYACCCAACTGATTAGGTTCACCATCCGGACTGACTCTGAGTATCATCGCTTGTTCGTTGTACGTCATCAGGTTGGTATCAATGTCGTAATGCAATTCATTTTTATTTTTGTACTAAACATTGGATACAAGTAACACACATATACATAATATACTTAAACATAATAAGTACATACTATTATATATATTAAAACGCATTATTCTATAAATATTATAAGAATTATTAGGTATTAGATATAAAAATTATAAATTGTAATATGTATGATGGGTTATATATAGTATACTTAGATAATATGTTTTAGGAATATACCGAGTCGAGTATATCTTCGATTTTTTTTCGTTTTTCTAAGACTAAAACATCTGAAATCAAGTCGCAACTAAGTTTTGGACGATCCCGTGGTACACGGTCTAAAAAGTAGAAAATGAAGTTAAATAAAGTTCTAGCACGCGTCATTTTATTTGTGTATCCATTTCTCCATGACGCGAACTTCATGAGTGTTACTGACGATTCAAGTTTTAACTTGGTCGAATCGTTTGTAACAATTATCCAGGATTCATCCAGTTTTATTAATTTCTCTTGATTTATCTGATTAAAAAACAGTTGTTTTTTACATTAGCTTTATAGTGTAGGTTAGATACACGGCTATGTATTGATTTTTGCACTAACTGTCTGCACATATTGATCCAAATTATTTCCTATTAGAGCTACGTGTCTTATACCAATTTTCGTATTCTTAATTTGAGCAATTTCATTCGATGTTAGTTGATTTAAGACAATAGCTCTTAAAGATGATTTTCCCGAAATTAAATAGTCAACGGCTTGATCTGCATCTGAGTACAAGAAGTTAGTTCAAATATTTTAGAAAATATTGATTAAAAATAATACATTTACCTGCTTGGTTAGTGAATACGAACGTAATTTCTTTAGTAATATTCAACCATGTGACATATGATTCAATTAATTGGATTGTCGTTTGAATGTAGGAAAAGTCAGTTCGAAAATAGGCCATTGAATTTGCGTTACTTATTTTCCAGCATAGTATACACGGGGGAACGAGGAGGTCAATGGTGGCTAATGCGTTATTCGACACAGCACTGCAAACTGTAAAAAATAAAAATCTTGCGGTAATATTGATGTTTAAAGTAAATAACTATTTGTAACGTATTGTAGGTATACTAATGTCTAATTATATCAGTTCCATAGCATTTCAGGACGATAGATATAGGATTTTGAATATTGAAAACTCAGAATTATGTACAATAGTACCTATGTATCCAAGTACTAATATCTATTATACTGGTATACAATTAATAAACATTAATCGTATTGTATACCATGACCTTAGTATAAAATACGACGTTTAGTTAATTTGAAATCCTTTTTAAAATTAAATTCTACGTATTTAATCTAATAGCAGTAAATAGTTATTCAAATACTTAATTATGACAAAAACAATGTTTCCAGGGTATTTCCGTATTTATTGATTAACTATTCTAATTTGACTTTATTAATTCAATAAAGGTGAATACTAAATATAGCACAAGGCTATACATACATTTATTAGTTATATTATACGACGGATTGTTTAAAATAGGTTCGATCGAAACGTTGTAGTTTGTCGCAATGGATTTCAATTGAATGAAGTTTGTATCATTTTCACTTTGTGTTAATACACCTGTAAAATATATAATATTACAAAATATAGAAACATAATATTAGTAAAAGTTTTGTTATTATAATTAAATGTTAATAGTTTACGTTAGTTTAAAATAATTTGACAATTTTCTGTTGAAAATATCGTATGCAAAACTATA